GGTTTTGAATTTTTCCCTACTTAGAACTTTGCAGCCCAGGTTTCCCTATTTATGAAACTGCAGTTCAGTATCTAAGTTGTTTTCATTACAACAAAGAGCTTTTTATGTCCATTTGACTAGATTTTTGTACAGCTCCCACCAAAAATGTTACCGTCAAACTTTTGGGTGCTTTACACAAGTTTGTTGATTCAGGTGGCTAAGAATTCCTTAAGTTGTTTATGCTTTGGCTAACTTGTTTTGTTAGAATAACATATCTTAATAACTGAAATTAAATTTTTTGTTTGCAGACTTCAGAGGGTTTCTTAATGATGTCAAACCTACACTACTAACTGCACTTGACGCCGAATATGAGAAGAACAAAAAAAAAACCTTTTAAGGTATATTTGTGTGGATTGTCTTAATTTTTGGATATCTTGTGTTTCATGCTCTACTTATATTATGTTCATTAGTAGAAAGATTACCCCTAATCTTCTTAATATTCTGTTCATTAGAGGACTACGGCTTCGAAGAGGTTTTCAAATCTTCTTAAAGGCTTTGTGAGTTCAAATCAAAGAATTTTTATTTTGTTGTCTAAACCTAAAAATTCTTGCGCGGAAATTTATTTTAAGCTTTAGAGTTAAAACTGAGTCTTTCAAAATTTGTAGATGCGTTTGGAGTCAACCGAAGCTGTACATAAAATTCTGGAAGAGGCGAGTAAACGTATCCAGCCAACTGGAACTGGTATGAAGTCAGGATATTATATAATTCTCTGTTATTTTAGAATTTTCATTCCAAAAATAGTCATGAATATTTATTGTTATCTCTACCTTTTTTGTCTAGACTGTTGGGTAGTAATGATGCATTTCTGAGATCTTGAGAGTCAGTAGACAAGAAACGGTTGGTATCCTTGGCTTAACTTGTTCTATTCATTGAGAGAACCCAAATATATGTGCGTTAAGATTGAAAAGAATATCAAAGATATCCAAGGCCCAGCACTAGCTCTTGTGCTTGAAAAAGTAAGACCATGATTTGTTCGGAGTACTTCTCCATCATGTGGTTATCTGATTAACATGTTCTCTCCTCTCCGTTTCTTTTTTTTCTGTTCATACAAACGATGTTTTTTCCAGAACCATTAAAAGCTTTGACATTTGGAAACGTGTTTCAAAGATTTAGACTGTGACCAAGAAGGTTGGTACTGGGAAACCGAGTGGAGGCAAAAACAAGTGGATCTTTGTGAAATGAAAGTTGAACCACCTGAAGATGTCGAGGTACGTATAAATACATTATACACTTCGGTTATGTAGTTTGACTATATATGTCCTTCTTTCTGACCTTTTTGGTATTAATATCTTATTCATCTTTTCATTTTTAGCATGCGGAAATGGGTCTTAAAGCGATTGAAACAGTAGGTTCTCTTGTAAAACCAGAAAATGGACCTTTCTTCGTCACTAGTGCTTATCTCTTTCTATATCTCATTTTTCGTTTTACTTGAGAGGTTAGTTCATTTTAAGTGGTTATTCATCAATTTCACTACACAAGTCATTGAAATCATTACTCACATATCTTGGACTGCGGCTAAATTTCCTAAGAAATGTGTTGTACTTTCCATTACAGGTTAGTATCATACGTCGAAAAAGCTACTTTTTGTTGATGAATGCTCTATTCTAATGTCAGTTCCATTTTTTTCTTACAGAATGTGTTCTTAACTTATTTGGCCGAGTTTTTCTATCATTCGTAGGCACTAATGAACAAGTTGTAGATATAAAGACACGATCCTCTGCTATGAAGTGGCCTACTGCATTCTATGAATCATTTGGTCCTGGATTTGATGTCAAGAAGGTATGTGCTGGTTCGGTAACTTTTCTTTGACTTTCATATTAATAAGATCACAATGATGATTCAAGGCTTTTGTGATGATTCAAGGAAAAGTTATACACGGAGAGTAGTTGTGATTTTGAGGAAACCATTGGTACAAATCTTTCTTTTTACTTGTGAGATGATTTATATGTTGTTAGTGTGTTGTTTTAGTTGAAATTACTTATTTACAGCTTTCTTATAACAATCAAAACTCTTGGACGCAGCCACTAAATATGGAGCACTGTGATAACGTCTAACAAGATGGCCAGTGAAATGTATCCCAATGCCCCGGATGCTCGTGTTTTGACTACATTCTATTGTGGTATGGTTCCCTTTTTCTGAAATTCACATGAGCTAATTGATTCTCTCTCTCTCTTTTACTTCATGTTTTTGCGGCTTAGTCTTCCTGTTGAAATGAGCTCTTAAATTGCTCAACTGTAAGTTACAGGCGGTGTAATGTAATGTAAGGTTGTTTATGAATCTATTTGAGGAGATGATACTAGAAAGTAAACTTTGGTCGTTAGTGTTAAACATATGTATTTGGTGCTAACATCAAAATATCTGTAGGGATTTTGTCTAACTAAGCAAGTGCATTTAGTGTCCATAAGGCATGTATTTGGAGACAAAATGTAGATAATTAAATGTTTCGTTTCAGGAGAACGGATTCTTAAGCTGCAGAGACATTGGGAGATGATTGGGCAGCTAAGTTAAAACGAAGGTTAAGGTAGAGTCTCTCTCTCACGCACACACACACAACCTCAAAAACAGAACACAAAATACTCAAACACAATAAAAACTCAAGTGCAACAAAAAAACAGAGCACGAAACACGCATACACAAAGTTTAACACACAAAAAAAACAAAAACAAAAAAACACACGCATACACGAAGTCAAGTTCAAAGGAAAAAAAAACATAATACAAAACACTCAATAGTAACAAAATTCAAACACACACAAAAGGAAGCTCAAAACAAAAATAAAAACTCAAGAATTCTCATACCAAGAACTCAAACAAGAAACCAAACAAAAGAAAGAGAAAGCAATGCAGAAATGGCATCTTGTAGAAAGAGGTAGCTTTTCTTACGTAAGGAATGGTGTGTGGAGATTTTGTGACAACAAGGAGTGGAGATTTATTGTTGATGAATAAAATCGTGGGAGATTACTGAATTTGGAATCAACTACAACTTTCGAGGAGTTAAAGGTGTTGGTTAGAGAAGACTATGGAATAGAATAGAGTACTGGTGATGTGGAGTTAAGTTACTTACCCACAAATCTTAGCGTTGATTGTCTTCCTTTTGTTATGATGACTAATAGACAGGTTAGTTATTTCCTTTCATACTGTAAAAAGAAAAATACGATCAAGTTATGTGTGACGTTTAATGGTGGAGTTAAAAATACTGGGAGTAGAGAAAATTTACGTACGTAACGTGTGGGTTTACTATATATATATTGTGTTTCTACTATCATCACCGAACGTTGAAGAGTAATATTTGATGGTTACGAAACAATTTGTCTTCCCAACTTCTATTGTTTGCTTCTTTCTCTAAGTTCAAGTTTTGATTGTTATCGATTAACTATAATTCCAAAATTTAATGGTCTAGGTTATAAAAGTTATCACATCTTCATGAAGAGTTTCATAAAAACAGAGTAAAAATAAATAAGGTTGCACATGTTCAAAGTAGTTATGGCCAAGTAGATCAAATCATACACAATAATTATTCTCTCTAAATGCATCGCATGTCATGTGTCTGCTCGTCATTATTCATTTTTTCATGTTAACAGAATGTTTAATTCATATCATTGTTACTTGGGTTTAAATTATTCACGTAAGTGTTTTCCATGTCCATTGTTTATAGGTTTGTAAAATATATTTTTTTTTTAAAAGGGAAAGACTCATTGTGAGTTCGAGGTTTTGAAATAGGTACATAATAATTTTTTTTTTTTTTTTTTCACGTCTTTGTTTATGGGTTTGTAAAAATTTTGAGGGTATAATCGAGTTTCTCGCTATTATAAAGCTTATTACACCAAACTTTACAAAAACAGGCATAAATGGACAAAATCAAAAGAAAATATCATTTATAATCAAATTCCCCAGCTCACCAAAAAAAATCAAGAGTAAATTTGGAAAAATACCCTCTTTTTGTTTACACTTTTGAAAAATACCTTTTTCTTCATTTTTACTTTTAAATATGTAAAATCAAACTAAATAACGATTAATAATATCTATATTTCAAATATCAAATCAATTTACTTGTAATAATCAAATATTTAATTTTTACAAAGTCTTAATATAACTAGAAATTCCAAAAAAATATTATCTTAAATATTCTTTTAAAAAAATAATGAATAACAACATTCTACCAATGTTAAGTTATGATTTTTGTTAAGTCATGTGTGATTGTTATGGTACAACAGAATTTGATGATTCATTATTATTGAAAACACATAATATAGTTTACTTTCCAAAAATATTCAAAGAGAATTATTGAATAGAAGCAAAGTTTGGGAGCGTTTAATTTAAGCTGTTGACAAAAAAAAAAAAAAGCAAAGTTTGGGATATGTTGAGCTAAAACATTTGCTTGGATTGTTGGAGATTATTTTATTTTATATAATATAACAAATATAAAGGGATAGACTTTATAATATATTTAGATATTATTTTGTTGATTTTTTTATATATAAAACTAATAAATCAGCTTTGTGTTAAAAGTATATATATATATATATATATATAGAATTAATTAATATTATTTCAAATTTAGTTAATTTTTTTCTCTAAATTCAAGTTTAGTTTTGATTTAATAAAATATAGCTTTAAATTTAAATTAATACAAATTGTCATTTTACATATAAAAGATTGTAGTTTTCATTAGAAATAATAAAAAAGGTATTTTTCAAAGCATAACTCAAAAACAGGGTAATTTTCAAAATGACCCAAAAATCAAAGTCCCCATATTAAATTTTGTGTTTAATTATAAATAGCATAAGTATGCACTAAATGAATGTTTAAAATTTATTTTAATGTAAAAATAGTAATGTTTAGGCGGATGCTTAGGTAGACATCCTAAATGTAGAGAAAACTCCTAATTATGTATATAGATTATTAATATCTGGAACATTATATGATCACCAGAAAGAAAAAAACATCACAAGATAGAACACATAGATTATCATTCATTTATTAGCTTCTTATTCATGTGTCTCTCATGAGCTAATAATGGGATAGTTTTCTACATCCTATGTTTCCCTTGTTGCTCCAAAAGGCAAGAGAATGCTCTGCGTGAACAAAGAAGAACCATTGTTTGGAGCTGGTCGGAGTCCCAGAATCTCTACAACAACATTGTAGACCTGAACATTCTCAAACGATGGCACTTTCTTTCCCCTCCTGAACCTTGGACCATGTCCAATAAAGATAGATCTCATGGAGAAAAACATGTTGTCGTATCCATGATTTCCAAAACATTCTTGAACGTTTGTTCTGTTTTGTTTAACCATTAGACCTTCTCCGACCATTCCTATGATCGGCGGAATCCTGGAACTCTCGGAATAATGCAGCCTTTTCGGTAACTTCTCCTTAAAGTAAACCTTCAAAAACTCTCCGTTCTCCACTTTTCCTGAGCTCAAAGCTTCGTTCATCTTCGCCACGAGTTCCATGTTCTTCTCGTCTGGATTCTCAACATCTTTGCCCCAACGTGGATTGATTGCCAGTACTGGAAAATAAGCCTGGATCCAATCTACGGGTACCTTAATCCAATCCGCTAAATCATCAATGTAAATCACTTTCTTGTCACAATTAGTAACCATTCCGTGATCACCAAGCAATATCACATGAACATCACTAAACACCTTCCTTTTCTTCAATCCCTTGATGACCCTACCGATCATTTTATCAACCTTCGCGACTGCTTCTGTGATCCGAGGATCATCAGGGCCATATTTATGACCCTGTATATCCGGTTCATCGAGATACAGAGTCATGAAATCCGGGATTTCGCTCTCGGGAAGATCGAAATAGCTCAAGATCGTATCGACTCTTTCTTCGAGAGGAAATGAAACATTGTAAGGCGCTTTACAAAATCCTGTTGGGCAGGTCCAAGAGCCTTTGGGAACTTCAGAGCCTGGCCAATAGACAGTAGCAGCCTTGAGCCCTTGGTTCACTGCAGTTACCCACAACGGCTCACCTAACCACCATTTAGGATCGAGGTTTTTGTTGTAGAATTCTCCAGTTATCGGATCGGTAAATTTGTTCATGATTATACCGTGGTAAGCCGGGTAGAGTCCGGTAGCGATTGAGTAATGGTTTGGGAACGTCATGGTGGGAAAAACCGGGATTAAACCGGTCTGAGCTTCGGTTCCTCTCGATATGAGCAAATCAATGTTTGGTGTTTCCGTCTTGAATTGGTAACCGAACCGGAAACCATCGCTGGAAATTAATAGAACCACCGGTTTGTTGAGCTTCTTGGAGGCGTGAGATGGCCAGGCATAGGGTGATGGAGAGTCTGAACCGCTGACCGTGACGGCTTCGACAAGGACGATGAGATAAATAAGGATTAGAAATAACTTGTACACGGGGTAACCGGAGAAAGGGGACTGGCTCGGTTTACTTTTCACCATGGAAAAAGAAAGTTTTGATGGTGGTTGAGCTCAACAATGCTAATGTCATTTTTATAGAATATTCATTTGTACTATCATATATTAATAATCTCTCGTTTCTTTCGTTATTTATTTAATTGCGTAAACCTTTGCAATTATATATTGTTTCTTTCTGTCAGCAGATCTGGTTATATATATATAATTATATCTTTTTTTAATAACTCCATACATCTTTTCAAATTTGGGATCAGAGCATTTTATATGATCTCCTATTTAAACCGACAATTTCTAAACTTTGTCAAAGAATCTTTACCAGTTAAACTATTGAGATTTTGTACACATATCTTATTTCAAACTATTATCTACAATAACAGTAGTTTAATTAGTGACTAAGTCGTGCAAAATCGTTGATATTTTTAACCAACGGTGGGATGGACTAGTAGTTTAAGTGCATAAATTGGATCCATATGTTTCCTAGTTCGATTCTCGGTGGGAGAGATGCTTTAAGCCATTTTATAAGATATTAGCAAAGACCGGTCCTAAATCACTAGAGAAATTAGGGTCTAGATCCAAACCCCATCTAAAAAAAAAAAATCGTTGATATATCTCCCACGTTATTTAGAATCCTTCACGGATCTAGAGACTTGTTTTAATGCATAGGGATTCAGGCAGACTCGAGATTAAGTATTTTTAAACAATACGGAGATTCTTGAAGTGATAAAATTAAATTCATTAAAAACAGATCATGGATATGGTGAAAAAGCTAACATCTATATATGTCATTTTAAATGTTGCTAAGAGAACTTGTTCCGGGGTTAACATGTGACTTACGAATAAGAAATGCGAGAGAAGATAATACAATACAGTAATGTATATATTTTTTTTTGTCACCACAGTAATATACATAATTAGATTTCATGTTTTGGATAAAAATATAATTAAATAATTATTAACTAAATATAATTTATATTATTTTTTAATATATCGTAATATGTATATAGAAATATTAACTATTAGTAAATATTATTTAGTTTGTCCGATGAAAATATTTTGATGTGGAAATTCATGTATTTTCGTAGTATTATATATTTGGTTTGGTTTCACGTTAGCAAATTTGTGTGATCGAACCAAATAAACATTATTAACATAAACTCATATTCGGTTCAATATAAGAGTTTATATATTATTCGTAACAAAATCTATTTGGTTTCACGTATGAATTTTTATAACACAACCGAATATAATTAAAATTTTTACATCATGACTTATAAAGTTTCAATTTAGAAAAAGATTGTAAATTAGAATTTTAGAAGAAAAATCCTAAATCAAATTGTTTATATTTATGTTTTAATATAACGATTTGTTTGAATTTAAATTCAGTTTATTAATAATAGGGTTTATTTTATCATTTATGAAAAGGTGAGGATTTGAAAACACACAAAAAAATGTGAGGGTTTTTATACCCATTTTTCAGAATTAGATACATATATATGATATTACTAACACCATAATGTTGCATTACCCTGCTTTTGGTAAAACATAACATGTTTTGATTGTAGTATTAAACGCTTCTTTCTGTTTGGTAAGCATGTTAAAATCAATAGTTCGATAACCTGTAATTTTATTTGAATTTCCAAATCAATTTAAAACTCGCTAACCAATAAACTCTTCTAAAGACTACTCAAGTATAAGTGTCACTGTATCACAAATGTGTCGGTAACGCATTTACATGTCTCACTCTCAGAGTCAGGAAACCAACTCTAAAAAAATTCAAGTACAAATACTGCATTGCTTCGAAGAAGATTACTTGGCTTCGTTAATCTCTAAATATAACTTCAGGGTGGGTTACTTGTGGATGTGATTGATGCCCTGATTTTGTCAATGATCAGAACAATTTCACAGGATATTGATTAAAAGCCGCAATTACGAGTCATAAAAAGACTACTCATCAGTTTTATGTGACTAACCAAGCCTGTCTGCATCTAATCGCTTCTTCCCGAACTCTCCGTTTCGGATCATCGAGTGACTTTGCTATTGCTTGTAAAACCTTAAAGTGAAATTCCAAAGTCGTGATGAGACACATTTCTTACTCTACATACTAAAAACATGTGCTTTAGATCTTTTAACTAACCTCTCTTCTGAAAGGATAAATCCTTCTATGAGGCAATTCCAACAGTGCAACGAGACACTGAATCGCTGTTTCTCTAACAACCTGCGTACCATTTACCATGGAAATATTTCATTAGAAGATCCAAGAATCAATTCCATTGGAAAAAAAAAGATTGTACTGCAGAGAAAATGATTTGTCACCATTAGATGCGGATATGAAGTAAGCTTGATCAGGCATTCGATGATTATATGTGCATTATCACTGGCAGATTGTTTTCCTGCAAACACAGCATATTATTAGTATGCAATATAAAAAGAAAATGTTGTTTCTCGGAAAATTTGAATATGAAATGTCTTTTTGAGGCACAACAACCATTTAATCACAATCCCTATTATAGTGGGCGCAAACGAATTCAAATCCTATAAGAATTGTTTGATCTTCAAGAAATGAAGCGAGATTTTATATTAATGCAATAAGCTTCCGTATTCCAGCATCTAACTTTTCTTACCTTTGGTATCAGTAAGGGTTCCTGATAAAACCAGTAATAGACTAAAAAGAGTTTCTTTCTCCACAGAGTCTAAGCTTAAGACAGACAAGCCTTCCAGTATCAACGGTTGTAGCTGCACAGACCAATTCTTATAAGAAACAGTTTATAAAGGTAAAATATACAAAGTATATATCGGGGCTCACCTTTTTGGTATTGTCCAATATGACCGTTACTGGAACATTGGAAATAACATGAGCGAGAGCTACATGTAACATTGTTCTGAAACCATGAAGAAACCAGTCAGCTGGAAATCAAATTTGTTGGTCACAATAAACTGTCACTTGCCTATTTATGATGCGTCCATGAAACTTGGTGCAACAAAGAAGCCTAAACTAGTATGATTTTATGTGCTAGCTACACCTAACCAAAATTAAACTAGCAATCTTCAAGAGGTCTTCTTATTTTTCCAGAAAGGAACACTAAAAAGTTTTTTGTGGGTGCAGTTGCATTCTACGGAAATGACATAGAAGGACTTCATGGTGAAGGCAGAGTACAACACAAGAGCACCAAAGATGCTAATGACCAAACTTTTTTTTTATGAAAGAGCAGTAGAACTATAAAGGAGTAACAATTAATATACTTAAAGATATATTTACCTCGATAGTGGAGTCTGGGAATTCATAATCAAAGACTCCAAAATGGGAACTATCGTAGAGAAAAACCGCTGCTTATAGAGTGGTCGTATAACTGCATGAAATTTTCTGTTCAGACACACTTCCGAATCAGACATTAGCGTGGAGAATGCATCTGCTGCATGTTTCATGGCAGAAGGATGCAAAGCATGCCCAGAACAGTTAGTGGATTTTAAGCACTCCACTAGTACCAGCGCTATTTCATTAACTCTTTCATAACCCCGCATGAGTAAACCTTTCCCAATCCATGCTAGTCCTGTTATTGTACGGGTTTGAAGGTCCAGGGAACCACAGTAGCCTAAACATATCTTTGACAAGGTAGTCTCACTTCCAAACATAATTTTAGTAGATCCATTAGAAGAAATCTTTTTTCCCGATGCAAAATCTGCTTGAAATATTACAGCACATGCTTCTTCCAAGGAACAATCCCTTGACGTATTTGTTCCACCAGAACCCGAGCCCAATTTGTTAATCATTGAACCCAAAGCTTGAGCAGCTGGGATATAACCCTTAAGAAGTGATACCAAAAGCAGATGTACAAGTGATTTTGCATCTGGAATGGATGCTGCAGGGGACGCAGCTATGATAACTGATGCAAATAGTGAAAGTATCAATTCATCCCTAGAGGAAAGGTCACGCTGTAGACCCTCTAATGCAACAAAGGTCAAAGGAATAGACTCCATAGCTGGAAGCGTGCTTGATGATACCACACTATAAGCTTTTTGGATTATACTGTTCTGTGAATCTACCGAAGCAATTCCTACAACTTGCCTCATCGTTGTCATCGCTGCCTCAACAAACTCCTGTTGTAGAAGAGGAATTAAATTCATAACATCAACAATAGATAAACCAAATCTACTTCAAAAACAAAGGGTATAAAGTTCATCCAAGCACTTACCCTTCCATTAAAATCACAACTGAAAACTCCAGAGGTTTCAATTTGATTCCACATACTGATAGCGAAATGCACCAAGAGTTTCTCGAGACCATCTATCTCAGCCACACTATTTGAGATCAAAACAAAAATACCAACGAGTCAAAAGGACTGTTACAAACTGACATGAAAAAAAGGAAAGAAGAATATTGGTCTTGGCAGAAAAAAGGTATAGAGAGAAAGAATCTCCAATCAGATGAAAAACAGTGAAGCCATACACAGCACCACAAATGTTTTTAAGTTTACATCTTCTGAACGATAAAATTTGTAAATGGACAAAAATGGACACAAAGACGTCAAGATCACATCTTTGTTAAGTAATAATGTTTATCATCTCTTCTCCTCACACAAAGTAATCATAGTTATCATCAATATTTTGTAAAGGAATAATAGAAAAGACACTCGTGTTATTGCATTGCTTGTTGGTTTCCATGTGTTTATTATAACTCACTGTTAGGTGAATGAATTCTACTGAGTTAGAAGGGGTTGAGGTAGGGGAATAACACATTGAACCTTAACAGAGAGAACCTAAATACTCAACCGAAGTATGGTAGAGATTAACATGGATACCAACAAGCAAGGCTATTGACGAGTTGTATCATCCAGAATAGTTGGCTGTAAACAACTAAAGGTCTAGATACACACGCTGGCAAAGCTAGTTTATCTATGAGATAAACGAAATTCAAGAAAATTTTGGGTACCTTGGAAGCAATTTGTTGGTCAAACACCCTAGGAGCTGAGAGCAATTGTCAATTGACTTGAAGTTTCCATTGACCTGACAAGTGTTTTCCAAATAGTAGTTAGATACAAGGAAGCTCTCGATCCCTTTCTTGTTGGAGATAGAAACCAGTTAGCTATAATAGCAAGTTCTCAGCATCGAGCAGGAGAGAGAAACTGTTAGCTCAAATAGAAGTGAAAACTTTCTGATCTAGAGTCATGGAGGTAAAACATACATAAAATTCAGACAAACTGGAACAAAAAGCTTCTTCCAATCCTTGAACCATTTTCTCCACATACGTTGGCCCAGTGGAGCAAACTTCTGAAGTTGCTTCTAATATCATCTGATATGGAAGACCACAATGACTAGAACAGGCCAATGAGACCAAATTGTCGACAACTATACTCATGTAGCTCATAGCCTTGTCACTCTCATTATACCGATCAATAAATGAGCCGATGCAGACCAGTGCTTTCAATGCCAATTCCCAGACCACTGTTTTGCCACTCTTGGCTGTGATGATTGATGTTAAGGTCATCAAAATCTTCTCGAATTCGGATCTCGAAATAGGAGAAGAGCCGCCCCAAAACATACCCATAGTCAGCAAACCCTTTACTGTATTGATTCAGAAGAAAAAAAACATTTAGATAATAAGAATAAGAACACCGCAACCTAGAAAGAATTGTAGTGCAAGTTCAGTATTACATTAAAGTAGAGGCAATAAAAGAGGGCAAGAACAATAAGATGGTAATTTATCTATTAAGTAACCACAAGCATTCACCTCCAAAATATACATCCGTAACAGAATCATCATTAGAGCTGAGTACTGCAGAAGTGAACACCTGGATCAATGGAACTGAGAAGCTTTTCACCATAGAGAACCATGATTCCTGTGCATATCCAGGTGTTGGAGAAGATTCCTCGAAACCCAGGATAAGATCTTTTGAGGCTGCAAGAAGTTCAATGCAAAGATGAAGACCTCCATGGTAGAGTCTGGTAGAGACCGTAGAGTTTCCGTTTTGAACAACATCGCCAGTAGAAGTTTTCTCTACAATCCCTAGAGTATTCATAAGGCGGAAGAAAATGGCTTGAAAGATTATGTTGCATGACTGAACCGAAGATTTGGCAGAAACAGACAGTATCTGACTGATAACAAGAACCTCCAGTTTGCTTGTGTCAGGCATTTCTTTATACTGAGAGTATCTAGAGATGGTATCAAAGACCATGTTTATGCCTATATCATCAACAACAAAACCTAAAAACGAGATATCTTGCTTAACAAGCCTCTGAAGAAGACTAACAGCTTCTCTGTGGATCTCATTCATTTCAAACCCTGGACTAGTGAGGGATTCTGGAGCAAATGACAAATGTGTCCCAGTGGAAGAATAAAATGTATCTTTCAAAGCAGACCAAAGACCTCCATAGTGCTTCTTCATTCTGTCTACTCCATATTTCATAGCGCAATCTTTCAAACATTTCAAAGAATCAACCTAGACAGATTTGAGTGGAACAAAAATAACTACACTTGTCCAACATCCGGAGTGGCATATAATCTAGATGTATTTGAACAGAAAACTACATGTTAACACACACCTTTGCGACTGGTAGAGAAGAAGAAAGCTTTTCAAGAAGCAAAGGAATAGCATACGGTTCAAAAAAAGGTGTTGAAGAGATCGCCAGCTGCAAAATTGAGTAAAGTACATCAGTGAATTCAACATAATGTTATACATTTATCTATATAAACCTAATACCTTTTCCCCCATGCTTGAAACTGTAAGCCATAGTTTAGAAAACTAAAATTAATATTTCCATCTTCAAACCAGCATAGTTTGGAAAAGGAGACAGATTTTTACGATCCAGATTTACAGAAAATCAAGGCATCTATACCCTCGAAGCAGAGAAGCATATAAATACCAGAGAGACAGGACAAGTCACTGTACTTTGCCTTACAGCTTTCAAAGAATGGACATGGGATGCAAAATAGCTTCTTCTGTCAAATCTTCATACGATTTTCTAAGGGTCTAAAACATTTCTTTTTAAAGAACTCCTAACCAAAATGATCAACTGATATTTAACCTTCAGAACCTAAACTGTTGAGCCACAATAAGACCGTAAGAACTTTATGCAAATCAGGAATATTGACAAAATACTCACCAATAGTCCCCTTGAGAGGTCCTCTCTTCTAATATTAGCTTCATCATCTTTTGTCTAAGAAACCCAAAAAGAGCACACTAAACTGTTTAGTGAAAGAAAGAGAAACCCATCTATATAGCACATCATAAAAATGACAGGCTTTAAACTCACATGCGTAAAATGAAGTGGGAAGTAGCAACCAATAACTTCAAAAAGATCAGATGCATCAGAAGCGAGTGGACCAGAAGGACTGGGGAACAACTGAGCCAAAAGCTCTATTAGATGAAAAACTATCATTAAACACTGAGGGTCTTTTTCTCCATCGATGGCTTCACATGTAGCATAAACAAGTAGATTGCCCTAGGAAATGGTCATTTAGTCAATAGGATGAGAAGAAAGTGAGGAAAGGCACCGAGTAGATATAAACAAGGAATAGGACAAAAACAGAAAACTAAAAGGACGTTGTGTGCATTTTGTTTGTTATACTAATCAAATTAAGAGAACTAGGATAACCTGAACATGAATCTTTTGACCAGCTGAGACCATATATTACATATTTGCATAAATAAATAATTATTTGTCTTCCCACAAAGCTGACTCAAATAGATTTCCAAGAAAACATTCCTCACACAGTAGATCGAATTTACAATTCTGAACTACATATCGATAAGTAGAGAGCATTAGCATACCATAGTCACAATAGCTTCAGAGTGTTGTTGTAAAAGGCACTCCAGAAGTTCAAAACCGAGCTGCAAAGTCATTTAGCAGATGATAATGTAACCATTCAAGAAAAAACCATCCAGTGTAGTTGACAGTCATTCAGATAACAGAATACTACTAGTAACCACATCATACCTTGCGCTCATGCAGTGCTAAAGCTTGCACTTGCACATTCTGTATCATTGACTTCGCCATAGCTTGTGCATCGATATCAGTAACGACACCAGCTACATCTTTCCTCTTCATTAGAGCCAAACAACCAACAAGTGCCCCACGCACCGCTCTCCAATCTGCCTGATTCAAGTACAACAATCGTTTCATTTTTATATTAAAAATTTGAATAGACACATTGGAATTGATATAATCAAACGACAAAGTATCAAAATTACCAGCTTTTCGGTAAAGAATCCAACGAGAGTATGCACAATTGTATCGTTCAACGGCTTTGCTTTCAAACAATCGAGAATCTCCGCAAGTAGGAGAATACCTATAAACACACCAATGTCCAATTCCGTTAAGATTAAGAGACATATAAACTCACTAAACTAAGCCAGTGAATCGAAAAACCTCGTGCTCGAACAACGTTATCCGTTGTCGTCAAATACATCTCCATCTCTCTAACCTACACATTAGCAATACATGAATCAACAACACAAACAAAGCCTATGGAAGATTCAGAAGTTGACAAGTGAGTGGAAATTGTTACCAATTGGTTAATAGACAAAGAATCATTCTCCAAAGAAGAAGCAATCGCTTTAAGACTATCATCCTGAAAACAAAATCAAACTTGATAAATCCATGAAACTGTTGTTCTAAGTCTCAAAATCGATCAATAAGTACCTGTTGAGTAGGGGAACGAGTGATGTCAACAAAAGTTTCGAGATGTTGAGTGAGCTGATTTGGTTCTACCATCGTCGCACGCAGATTTTGAAGATACAGTGAATGTGTTTTAGGGTTTTTGATTCCTGAGGAGAGAGCTTTGCGAGCTCCGACGGGAAAGAGGAAGAGAGGACAAAAAGAAAAGAGCCGCCAAAGGCAATGTGAGAAGGAAACAGAGTGGTATTTCTGTAATTTAGTTGGATAATGGAGTCTGTTTTCGCAACCAAAATTACTTTTATTTTCGACTTTTGGGCTTCTGATTATTTGAGCTGTTAATCGATTTCCGTGTTGTTGGGCCTAAACTTTGAATTTTAAATGTTTGAAATTTGTATGATATACAATCTCCAATGGTAGAAGTTCTACTGTGGAAGTCTTCGTGGGGTTCTTAACAATTTTTTAGCATATATTTTAGAACTCTATTAAGTTTTCTTAATTTTTTTCGCTCTCCAATGGTAGAACCCCAGGGATCCTTAAAAATAAATAATTAAAATTTCTGATATTTACCTATAAGAGCATTTCCAATGTCCACCTTTATATTTTTCTCTATTTTACAGGAAATTTTGCTCCAATATATGACTCTAAAATAGAGTTTTAATTTCTCTAAAATAGAGGAGATAGACATAGATTACTCTATATATAGAGGCATATATTGTCTCTCTCCTCTATTTTAGAGGCATACATTGGAGCAAAATCTTCTCTAAAATAGAGAAAAATATAAAGATTGGCATTGAAAATGCTCTAATAACTCAAAATTGAGCTAAAATTACTTAAATGACACACATTGAGTTTGGTGGAAAAACGGCATTTTTCAACCTCAACTATTTGCCGGTGGGTTTTTCCAACCCAAACTATGATCCCCAGTCGATTTCAACCTAAACCCAAAAATAATTCAAAATCGAAACCTGAACTAATGCAAATGAGCCGATTTCAACACGACGCGAAACGGTGTTAGTTCGGAAGTTAACGGTTGCTCAACCTTGGGTAATTCTCTCTCTACAGCATTCAGCAAACCCTGAAAATAAAATCAAATAACCTTGAGAACCGTTACCTTCTGAACTAACATTGTCTCGCGTCGTGTTGAATCGGCTCATTTGCATTAGTTCATGTTTCGATTTTGAATTATTTTTGAGTTTGGGTTGAAATCGACTGGAAGGCATAGTTTGGGTTGGAAAAACCCGCCAGCAAATAGTTGAGGTTGAAAAAGGCTATTTTCCCTTGAGTTTGGTTTACTAGACTAACCCAAATTTTAAGTTAAAAGTCTAAATAACCTTCTTGGATAATAAAAATCACAATCATATAATTCTAAATTTAATTAAAACAAAAACAAAAACAAAAACAAAAATAAATAAAAATAAGTAAATAAAAAAGCAAAAATCTAAAAATCTAATCGATATTTATTCTTCAAAATTTCTCATAAAAAAAACCCATGAATTCTCTCAAAATATCCCTAGTCGTCGTCGAGTCTCCTTGTGGCATTTCGTCCAGATGCATGTCAAAATCTTCTATCGTCGTCGAGTCTCCGTTTGTTATTGAGTCGCCGATTTTACTTTTTGACGATTTATCTTCTCCGGTGGTTATTTGAGTTTCCGGCATTTTCGAGACCTTCGGCGGTTTTCTTTGGTAATCAGCTTCGTTCTAGCTAGGTAAACTCTTAAACTGTGGTGTACTCGTTTTAGTTTATTTCCCTTTTCCGATTGATGATTTTGAAATTCGATTGTCATAATGATAACTTGTTTTAATTTGCAGATCTTTAGCCTCAGTTCCTTCTTAGGCTTTTTAGTTCGTTATTCCGGCAAGGATTTTTGGCAATTTCATTAGATAAGTTGTAAGAAAAAAGTTTCCTTTTCCGCTTTCAAGACACATCCGAGTGAAGTTTTTGAAATCAAATTTTGATAATTAGAAATTGTTTTTTTTTGCAGATCTCTATACTCGGTTGCATTTGCGGTTTCACCGTTCATTATTCAGGTAAGTATATTGGCCAATTTCGTCGGAAAAATTTAGAAAAAATATTTCCGCCTTTGTATTTTTTGTTATTGATTTTGTGTGCTATAGCAACATATTTATTCAATTTTTTTCCTTTCTTAAGTAACATATATTTTTGTTTTTGTTTGCCAATCTCACAAAGCATTGAAGTGGTCAAGTTATTTGCTTATTCAACCTTATTCTTTTTTGTGATTAGGAATGGCGTCTTCTAGTCAAATCCTCAATTATCCGCCTCAATTATATGAAAAAAGAAAAATCACATTTGCAACATAGGAGAATGAACCACATCTACTACTATTCTCAAACTGGGAAGATCAAAGAAGGATTAGGTCTGGATGTGTCGGATGGTTTGATGAAATCAAAACTTGGTGTGTTTATAAAGTTAATTTAAGCTGATAACACATGGGCTGCCCAGACCATTCATTTCTTACTCACAAATCAGCTGTGAGTCGACACCTTTCACGAGATTTGGTGTTTGATTGATCAAAGGCCAATCAGATTTTCCATATATGAATTTGCGGACAAAACATGGCTCAATTGTGATCTTATTGACAAGTCAGACATCTGTGAAGCTGCTTTCCATGAGTTCTTGAATGAAATGAGTGTTGGGACGTCCGATGGTCCTCTATTTTCTGAGTTGGAGCATGTAATGGATATTAGCATGGCATGGAATTATGAGAAGCGGATGATGCTTAGTAGGTTATGCTTATTATCTGTTGGAGTTTATTGGATTCATCACGGTTCTATAATCCCTTTATCAAGTGCTAAAACAGTTCTAGATTCAGTGTTCAAAATCATTCAACTAAAAAAATTAATTTGTTGAGAAAGACAACTATATATATTTCAATGGAAACTCTAGTTAGAGAAAAGTAAGGCCATCTCTAAAGGGAGTTTTTCTCCAAAATATCTCAAACAATAAAAATAATTAAAAAGTTAAAAAGAAAGTGAGAGGGAGAAAATTGTCAGAAACTGTTTCTCAAATAAGAGATTCAAGAACCCCGGGAGAAAATTTTGAGAAACTGTTTTTCAAATGAGAGACACATGTCATGTTTTTAATGATCAATTTAGTTAAAAACATAAAATTAAAAACGTGACTAAATAATATTAGAAATATTGGTATTTTATTATTGAGATACCCACAAAACACTTTAATAATATTAAAATGACCTAGTAATCGTGTGAAGTGAAACTCGCGGTAGCCATTTGTCCTTGTGTTGTTAATGAGGCTGTTGTCCTCGGAGTCAGAGTCGTCACCGTTGTCCAGCATGTTGTATTCAAATGGATGATTACGCTAGACAGCTTTTATCACCGTTGTAAAACACCGCAAGTAGGAAGAGAAGTGACATTTTCGGGACTTATTTTTTTTTTTTGTTATCTTTGTGATAAATCTTAAAGTCTTAGATTGCCAATTCCGTCTTTATATTGCAGTAACGAACACTCAACGCATATTCAAGTAAATTAAAGTAAAATAAAAAAACAAGATTTAAATTTTCAAAAAAGAAAAAGAGTGAATATACGACACCCTACCATACATTCATTACCTTACTATTTTCTAACTAGAGTTACCATTGAAATCTAGATATATGTCTTTCTCAACAAATTAATCCTTTTTAGTTGAATGCTTTTGAACAATGGATGTCCTTTTCAAATTATTTATGCAAAGCCAATGGAGTGATGACCCAACTCAATACATCTCGCCAGACAACGATTCATCCGACGACGACAACGATTGCGCATAGATAAATGATGGGCACGTGACTCACTACACCCAAGAACCAGACCATATATCAAAGCCATGATCTTCTTCATCTTCTTCAATCTCTGGATTGTGTCCAAAGTAGAAACTTTGATATCTATCGTCGTCATCATCATAGTGTTTTGTGGGTATCTCAATTGTAAAACATCAATATTTCTAATATTATTTAGTCACATTTTTAATTTTATTTTTCTTAACTAAATTGATCATTAAAAACATGACATGTGTCTCTTATTTGAGAAATAGTTTCTCACAAATCTCTCCCGGGGTTCTTGAATCTCTTATTTAAGAAACAGTTTCGCATAATTTTCTCCCGCTCTCCTACTTTTTGACTTTTTAATTATGTTTTTGTTTGAGATATTTTGGGGAGAAACTCCCGTTGGAGATGATCTTACTTTTATCTAACTAGAGTTTCCATTAAAGTATAGATAGATGTCTTTCTCAACAAATTAAATTTTTTAGTTGAATGGTTTTGAACATTGAATGTCTTTTTCAAATTATTTATGCAAAGTCAATGGAGCTGACAAATAATTTAATTAAATTTTTTCATCTATTTAAACATATATTTTCCATCTATTGAATTCAAAATATTAGTTCTTTTTAAAAAATTGTACTGAAATATAAATAGTACCGTCTCCACCTAAACCCAGTAAAAAAAAAAGAAGGATTCATAGGTGGCATGCCACACCCCAATGTGGGATATAAGCTTAATTGATTTGTCGCCATCAAAACGTTCTTGTACGTTAACATTCTTATTCCAATGATACTGTAAATCGATCCAATTAACATAAAAGTAAACCCGAACCACTCACTATACTAAAAAAAAAAGTAGTCAAACAATCCATCAATTTCAATAATATGCAAAAACTTGTTATGTCATTTCTCTAATATAATATGACATTGGGAATTCGAAAGAAGAATTCTCTAGCTCTCTATATATTGTCTTAACATATTTACTTTATATGTTTAGAAAAGTTTACATTATGTGAGTGTTAGCATTATGTTAATGTCGTTACTATATATCTTTTATTCTTATATCAAACACAACTCATAAAATTATTATATTTTATATTATATGACTTGGTATTAAATAGCCTTCGATTCTAGTAGATAGAAGTTAAGCTTCCACATTAATAATCTTGTGACAAAACAATGATCATCGGAGAAGATGGCGGTGACGAAGATGAACCCAACAAAGACCGTCCGGATGATGACGTGAAGCAAAGAAAATTAGATTTGTGTCCACGTTGAATTAAAAGAAAAGAAAATGGGTTTGATCTTTTGTTTTGAGTTTTTTTTTTCTTTTGGCTTGAATTATTTAATCACTATTAGCTTATTAGTTTTTGGTTTTGCATAAGAATTATTTGGAGGTCTTTGAGAAATTTAAAGTTCAAGGGTTTGAGTTTTCAC